AAAATAAATCTGCGAAATGTCAGCTCCTTGCCACCGCAGCAGAAGAACTGCCCTTGTCATGCTGTGAAGGACTGCAATGAAATCCAAGAGTGGGTGAGCAGAGGCAGCCGGCATGGGAAATAACTCCATGATGGGTGATGTGAATGTCACGTGCAATGGGACAAGCCGCAGCTGTTACACGGACAATGGCACCGGGTCCAACTTCACCTTCCACGAACAGTCCCCTGACTTCTACGTGATCCTCCCGGTGATTTACTCTGTGATCTGTGCGGTTGGGCTCACCGGCAACACTGCCGTCATCTATGTGATCCTCAAAGCGCCTAAGATGAAGACGGTGACTAACATGTTCATCCTGAACTTAGCGATAGCAGATGACTTGTTCACACTGGTGCTTCCCATTAACATTGCAGAGCACCTCCTGCACTATTGGCCCTTTGGAGAAGTCCTCTGCAAGCTCATCCTGTCCATAGACCACTACAACATCTTCTCTAGCATCTATTTCCTAACAGTGATGAGCATCGATAGGTACCTTGTGGTCCTGGCCACAGTTCGATCCAAGAGGATGCCCCATCGTACCTACCGAGCCGCCAGAATCGTCAGCCTGTGCATCTGGGTTCTGGTCACGGTCATCGTTCTCCCTTTCATCGTCTTTGCCAATGTCTACATTGATGATTTGAAGATCAAGAGCTGCGGTCTCAATTTCCCCACGCCGGAAAGGTTTTGGTTCAAGGCCAGTCGGATCTACACCCTTCTCCTTGGCTTTGCCATCCCAGTCTCCACCATCTGCATTCTCTACACCATGATGCTGTATAAACTGAGGAACATGCACTTGAACTCGAATGCCAAAGCCCTGGACAAAGCCAAGAAGAAGGTCACTATTATGGTCTTCATTGTCCTGGCGGTATGTCTCTTCTGCTGGACCCCCTTCCACTTGGCCACCATTGTGGCTCTGACCACTGACTTACCACAGACCCCCCTCGTGATTGGCATCTCCTACTTCATCACCAGCCTCAGCTATGCCAACTCCTGCTTGAATCCTTTCCTGTATGCTTTCCTGGACGACAGTTTTCGGAAAAGCTTCAGAAAGATGTTGGACTGCAGAGCTGCCTAAAAGACGGACCAGATCCTCTCCTTTTGTGGCTTCACATGGGGCAACTCTGCAAACTTTCCCCATGTGTAGCTAAGAAGTGCCCGAGTTTTATGCCTTCTTTATAATTTATGCACCAACAAGTGTTCATTTCACACGGATCACCTGCGTTGTTTGTAAGCTTTCTGGCAATCCTTGTGTTTCCCTGGTATGAATCTCCGAGTCTCTTGAAGTTGTGTGTGTGCAGGCATGTGTTTTAATCGAGCCCTGAAATATTAAAGACAGACAACTCTCTTTCTTAAAATATACTCTTGCCATATCATAGTCTTATATTGCCACCTGCTGTATAATCCCAGAAGAGCTGGCTCTTTTAAAGTGTGAGGCTAAAGAGCAGTCTTTAAAAATGGATGTGACCTTCAGTTACTAAAGTACATGTTGTTTTCAGAATTATTGTAGGCCTACCAGATACGTTTGTGCATTGAGAAAGTGGAGGTAGGAGATGGGATAAAATGGTGCATTTAGAGATTAAAAAAAACCCCCTTGGCCTTGTATATCTGTGTCTCTGGAAAAGGTGGGTCTATCTTTGCCCATGAGTTCTTCTTTCCCAGAAAGCTAGCCTGATTCAAATTTAAGCCAAAAGCAAAATGTGCATCTTCAAAGTCCATTTGAACACTACAATATGCAAATACCACGGGCACCTACGAAAACCATTCCTTTTTGTCGTTGTTTTTAAATGTTTAATGTGCATCTATTTAAAAGTGTTTGAAGAAATAAAACCATGATGAAAACTGTCTGGGATTTCTATTATTTATAGGAATCACCGTGAGTCTGCCTGCCGTGTATAGTACATGCTTCCTGATGTACCAGCCCATGTTGTTGGTTTATAATATGCTGCAAGCATGCTGCAAACAACCAAAGAAAAGCCAAAGAAAAAGGCTGCACAGAGATGTACTCGCTCAGCCAAGTACATGAAGTAGGTGAATGGTGTCATTGAAACCACGCAGTGAAATAGGTGCCCAAGTGATTTCCTGAATTGGACCCAGGGGGGAAGAAAGTCTAATGATCTGAAATCACGCTGTAATTTAGTCGCTGCAAAGAAAAACTAACATAACTGCACTGAGAAACTCACCTGTCACCTGCTCAGTCCTAAATAATGATCTTTTAGAGCAGCTCTTAGCATAAGGGGAACCTTAAAAAGTTCAGAGTAAGAGCAGTATGGAGGGCTCCCAGTGCTCTGCTGAGCTTCAGGTGCTAGTTTAATCCCCTGACACAGGCTGTACCCAAGGAGAAAGACGGGATTGTTAAAAAACACCACCTCTTTCTGTCCTCTTCCTAACCAATGAAGGAAAAGCATGGGACAGTGTACCCCGCTGACTTCCACAGCTTTCGAAAATCTCACCTCCATCAGATAACTTCATGGCAGTGAGGTGAGTTCCCAACAGAGAGGAAGCAAGCGATCACTCCACTTTTAAAGGGTCTTGAAGCAACTTACAGGAGTGCACCCAGATGAAATATAGAGCTACACCTTCCAAATCCCAGTCCACTGTTCCTTCCACCTGGTCACTGTTTCTCACTAGCTACTGCATCTTATCCTAAGTGGCAGGTGGGACAACAGAGGTGGTGAGGAAGCATATAAGCATCATTTTGCACGGTGCATGGAGCTCAGGTTTGCATGGACCTGGAGCTCCAAAGGGGTCCCTGCCACCCAGAAAATGCATCCAGTGCAATGACTCGCACCAACAGATGACTCGAAGCAAAAAGGCAAAGACAAAAATCTGCCTCCCTGAACAGACACAGAGCGAGTGAAGTTTAAGACAGGAGCAAGATGGACATCCCAGAGGGTGAGGCACTCCCCTAAGAGCCCCCAGACCTCCGACCTGTGGATATCCTAGAAAAATAGTACATAAGGAGAAGCCAGACAGCTGTAAAAAACTCACAAGACGAGGTCAAATGTAAGTGTGGATTCTCCTTTTGAATCTCACTGAATCTATTCCCTCTAGACCAGTGGTTTTCAACCTTTTTGCATTTGCAGACACCTAAAAAAATGTTGGATGGAGGTGTGGACCCCTTTGGACATTTTGAATGGAAGTGCAGACCCCTTTGAATGGTAAGCGTGGGTATTCACAGACTTTGATTGATCATAGCCATCTTTCACAGACACCGTCTATGGACTCCCAGGCGTCCACGGCCCCCCGGTTGAAAACCATTGCTCTATACTATCTGGTGGCAGAAAGCTCTGCAGAAGGGCAGAGCAGTATATGCAGGCTCTGCTTTCTAATGCCTGCAGACTTCTTTAAAGGAATGTTTGTTGCTGTTATTAATTGGTATTCCCATGGCCCTGGCAGGGCTAATCATGGACCAAATCCCACTGCAGTAGGCAGCATAACAAAATATCCCATGGAGAGGGGAGAACAGGCTCCAAGAAGTAAAAGAACTGCCATTTTTGCCATCTGTGGAATCAGGAGGAAAGCGCGCAGCCGCCTTTGTAAAGTGCCTTGAGAGCTCGGAAGTATACCGGCGGCTGTTGTTTTCAGAGCTAAAAGCCGAAGAAGAAAGTGTGATACAATGCCTCTTTCATCTGTCTAAAATGCACTTAACTTTCTTCTTCTATCGTGGGAATGGATCCATCAAGGTACCCAGCCGCCTTTTATGCTATTCACTGGGCATCTGTCTTGTATTTCCCAAGCACGGAAGGCGCTGGTTAAGTCCAAAGTGTACGAGTGACTGATGCGTGCAAATGCCAGTGTGCACATAGGGTGAGGAGACATGAACAAGCCCCCTCCAACTTTAACAGATTTTCATCCAGGGTTAAAGCTGGAGCAGGTTTGCTGCCTTTGAATTGTTCTCCGCTCACTCGCACATAACAGTTTGAAGTACCGGCTGCTGCCCTGTTGGAGCAATCCTCTCTGAAATCCATCCCCACAGCCTGCCCCAGACTGAGCTCATTCCCGATGGCCCAAAATGGATTTTTTTTTAATTTATTTTTTTTTTGTGAAATGTCATGGTTTCAATATCAGGACTCATAGTAGAGATGATATCTTTGATTGCTGCAAAATAAATTCTTTAATTCCAAGCTTTTGGGCACAAACACCCTTCATCGGGCATCGGAGAAAAGATTGTACAAGTTCTCCTGGGTTGAAATGAAAGTTCATATTTCCTAGGATTTCACAGAGAAGTCAATAGATGGAAAACTCCTCTGGGCACGCAGCTCATTGGTTGTATGAAGCCTCTCACCTCCTGCGAGGATCTGTGATTGCAATAGGACTTCCCATTTGGAATCCAAGTAAAAATTCAAAGCACTCCAAAATACTTGAAATGCTTCCCCCTGCATAAAGCAAAGTTGTTAAGCACCTTGGGAAACAAAACAATTCAGTGCATCGAAGTAGCATTTTCTTTCCTTCCAATTTTTCTAATAGGGAAACCGAACAAACTTTTGTTGGAAGAAATGTTTTCCTCGGGGGGGTAAAGAAGATCCTTGTTGCTTGTGACTTGTCACTGCCCAGTACATTGTCTTGTGCTCCTTTTGGATTGAAGCAAACCAATGCCAAAACCCGGTCCCTTGTTCAGCAGAGCTTTTCAGCAAAGAAAGATGAGCTGGGCCCTGAGACTGACCTCAATAATACAGAAAGCACCAGGAAGAAAATTCAGCATATGGGAGAGTGGGAAGTGCTTTTCAGTAATGGCATGCAAGAAGTGTTGGGTGGGTGCAGACATGAGAGGCTTTTCTGCAGGGGAATATGAGAAGGGTTGGAAAGGCGAAAATAAAAGGGGAATAGCATCACTTTGCATCAAGAAGCCAGCACGGGAGAGGGCAGGCTGTTTGCCAGCAGAAGTTGGTAGCATGCTAAGCCCCCCAACATTTATCTTGATAGGAGACTTAGCAGCAGCAGGACAAGGAGGTTACAGGGGGTTTGTGAAAGGAAGGGCTTGACCTTGTGCAACCACAGTCAACACAGGCAGAGTTTAGGCCCAAAGGAGCGACAGCATCTTTCTGTACCAGCCTGCCGCGAGCTGGAGTTTTCGGGTTTCTACGTTTGAATATGAGTGCCCCCTGGCGGGAACTATTTCCCTCTTCCCCGTGTGAAAAAGGGAAGGAAATAAGCCTTACTTGTATGACCTTGCAGAGACGGAGCTGAAAGAAATGACTTTGACTCAGTCAAGTCAAAGGGACCCCAAGTACAGCCCCCCTGCAAGCTGTCTAGATGGGATGCTGTGTTTCAACCTGCTTCATGCATATGCAGCAGCACGCATATATTGCTGGTCTGGGAAGAATTTAAGGACCAAGAAGCATGAGCCAAATCCCATGGAGATCAGTGGCCCAAGGACAAAGTGTCCCCTTGAGATTGTTTTGGAATAGACTGTATTTTACCTACAATTGTTGAAAAGCAATATTGGCAGGTATTGTAGATATGCTGTGAGCACATCGACATATGCATGTGCATACGCATCCACACACCCACATGCACGCACACACAACTTCAAGTGGTTTTGCAAAGGCATCGGAGGGACAAAAACCACACAACCCAGTTGGTAGCCCTTCACCCCCCGATTTGAGAGGAGAGCCGTCACGATCCACTAGGACGAAGCAACAAACTCCAGCCTAGGATTCTCGGCCCAAAACACATTTGCTGGAGAGCCTTGAACTCATGTGCATCAATCCTAGCCTGGGTTTCTTGCTGTGAGTTGTCCGGAGAACTATAGACAGAGAGAGAGACCCAGGCTCAGAGCTGAGTTCTTCTCATTCGAAGCCTGGGTAACACTATATATTTCAATAGCCGGTGACACGCACGGTGATGAATGGGCTCCCAGATAGATTTCCAGTTATATGCCTCCATTTCCCATTTTAACATATGCAGGATTCATCTCTTTCTTTTCAGTCCTTACGCAAAACTCCTCTTCCTTCCTGGCACTGTGCTGCATCCCCACCATCCCCGAGCGTGTCACTGAAAGCCAGCACCGCTGCAGACTTTGCTCTACACTTGTCTAAGGCTCCAGACTATGCTCCTCTCTTTGTCTGACCACGC